GTACTAGTGATTAAGACGCGGGTTTGGATTGGTACTTGGATTTATTAACAACCTACAGGTTGTAACTACAAGTAATTATTACACTATTGCTGCTTCACACAATTTACAATCACTGCACACTAATCTCCTCAGTCTATTTCCACTGGTCTGCACTATCCGTTTCCTGGCAACGGATTTATAACGTAGGAACGGTAAAAGGCTCACTAAATTACACATTGCCAATATCGCTGTACTGCAGCACATATAACGTCACACACTAAGTCTTCTATTTCTTCTTCTGGCCATACTGCTGCTCCCTTGGAACTTCGGAACTCAAGTCCAGTCAATTCCCATTCCCGTATTCTCTTATATCCTCTCGGCACGGGCCACGCACAGAAAACACAGCCCCTCCATTGGTGCATGGCAGAGTCCACAAAGAAAACACGTGTCACGTGTCAAACTGAGAGTTCATTGGTCCGTTACCAGCACTGGGCGTGGCGCGGACGACATAGAAAACACCCTCATCTATTGTTGCATGCCGGACCATCTTTACAGTGCTGTTGCTTAGCAACGCGTTGATCAAATCCGTTATAATATGATTATTCTTTTGCTATCTCTAGCTTGTAACTTGGCAGCTCTTGGTTGAATATCCAACTGTTAAACTGCCCCTTAATAAAACACCTGATTTCCCTCGTTTTGAAGTTGGCAACACTGTCTTCACAGCCTATCCTACATCATCAGGTGCTAATAGGATTATTTTGATTTCTACAGTTCGCAAGTTGGCAACTTTGTCTGTCTCCTCTTTCCCCCCTAGTGTAAATTCTCATGTGCTAATAGAATTATTGTCGGCTGCAAGTTGGCAACCTTGTCAGCCCCTGCTTCTCCTCTGCTCTAAATTCTCATGCGCTAATAGAATTATTCTCGCGCAACTTCTCGAATGGAGACTTGAGACCACTTTGGGTCGGAAGGATAATTAAGCAAAGATTATTTCCTCGACCGATCTCCCAAAGGAGACATCAGATGCGGGAAGAAGTGAAGGTTATCCGGCGTCCATAATGTGCACCCCCCGCGGTACTTATCCCACCCTTGGGGCCCCCTAACCGCAATCATCATTACATCTTACAAGATAACTTTAAGATTACGGCTGTAGCCCAGTGGGTGTGCCGGAACCTTTCGTACTCTCTGATAATCCAGGAAAAGCGATTTCTCTTATGCCTCACGAGCACCACTGAAACATAGGGCCGCGGGTTGCATACTAATGTACTAGGGGTCCAACCAAACCAAACTAACACACCAAAGAACATACAAGCTAACTAACTAGCTACCTAGCCAACGAACAAACAAACAGTTAACTAAAAACCAATTAGCCAAGACAGTACGCAGCTAATTAAGTAATTAACTGTGAAACTAATAAACGAAGTAAATAACTAAGTAAATAACCAGCTACAAAACTAAGCAACCAATCCGTTAACGAACGAAATAACTAACTGACGAACCAAGAACGTAATTAGCTAACAACAACAAAAAAAAACTAAATAACTGATCATCAAACGGACCAACTATCTGATCAATGAAGAACTAAGTGACCAGCCAAATAACCAAGGGGACATATAGGCAACTAATTATTAAGAAACTAACAAATTAGCAAACTAACTTCACAAACAAACAAACAAAGCAACGCACTGACACCATAGTGGAAATTATTCCATAAAACGTTTGATGTTGCTGTGAGAAATTTCGAACATATTAAGGTAACAAAAAGCTGTTCCTGTGCTTATCTAGTTAAGTACCAGGCCATGAAGACGTATGCGGGAGTGGAGGTTTCTACTTACCTACCTATCTATGTACCCACCCACCCACCTACCTACCTATCTATGGCTCTTCAGCCCTTGTGGACCTTGGTCACTATTTCGGTTTCTTAACCTATACACAGCCGGTAGAACTCCTTGGACGGGGGATCAGCTCGTCATAAGGCCGCTACCTACACATAGAACAACACAAACACCGAATAAACCCACAAAGACATCCATGACTTGAGTGAGATTCGAACCCACGATCCCAGTGTTTGAAGGGGCGAAGACAGTTCATGCCTTAAACCGCGCGGACACTGTGACCGGCGGAGTGGAGGTAGAGGTCCATGAATTAATAATCTCAGCAGTACGTTAGGTTACATTTTAGCATCATTCCATCTATGCCTAGGTCTTCAAAGTGGTACCTTCCTTCCAGTTCATCCAACCAGTATTTTGCGTGAATCTGTCTTACTTTTAAGATGGCCGCGCCATAGCTCAAGCCGTTAGTCGCTGGCTTCCCAACGCGGCGGCTCGGGTTCGATCCCGGGTCTGGTCAAGTGGGATTTGTGGTGGACAAAGTGGCGCTGGGGCAGGTTTTCTCCGAGTACTTCGGTTTCCCCTGCCAATCTTCGTTCCACCAATTGCTCCACAATCACCGTCACCTATCATCTGGGGCTGGTACAATAGGCCAGAAGTGGCCGCAGAACAAGGGACTTAGTCCCACCCCACTGGCAATAAAAGAAGATTATTACTTTTAAGATTAAAACTGTCACATATTTCCAAGTTAATGACAGTGATGAAACGAAGACACGGGTTCTAAACCCGACGACGAGTCTGCTAACTGCTCCCACTGCTCGCCGACGCGTTTCCGATTTACAGTCACCTCGGGGAATTCAGATCTTCTACGTGGAGGGGGTGGGGGGGCATGAGTGAAATCCAACATCGCGAAGTATTTTTAAACATTTCTAAATGTATACAAGCCGGATGAAAACATACATTTCCATCTACACACTCGACATCACGTGCTTGTCTCAGGACAGCTCCACTTTTTATTCGATGGAGGTTTACACGCTTAGCGTATCACACCTTTACGTCAGCGCTAGTCAGAAAGCAAGAAAAATGGCAATACAATTTACGCATAACGCGCTCACTCACGGAGCTGAGCTAATTGTGTAGAAACTCAGGAACTTCCCAGCATTTTATGGAACTCGAAGGTTCAGTACCGTGTTCACATGAGCCCTCCATTGGTCCCTATCCTGAGCCAGATCAATCCAATCCATACCATCCCATCCTATCTCTCTAAGATAGATTTTAATATTGTATTTATGCAGAGTACGTAATGATATTTCAACATTCTATGCTCCTTGTGTTTAATTAATTTTGTTTTCTTGCGTCACAGTCTGGCCCTATAAGAAAGCTAATGTTGACACCAGGGATGTTTTTATAATAAAAAGAGTTTCTTCGGGGGAAAAATTCGGTAGGGTAAATATTAGGATTATTTTTTCTGTCTCCTTGTCCTGTTTATTTATTTCACTTTGCAGCCAACACTTCCTTCTCATGTTGTTATTCTTAAGGCTGGATGGGACACATTCTCTGGGTATTTAAGCCGCAAGTGGGCCCGCTATTTCATCTCTTGATGCCCTGTACTTAAGTAATTGTAGGTTGAGTAGTAAATGGTCAACCAGCGATAAGTCTTTAGTTTCAGTGTATCGTGTCTATTCTGCGAGTACTGATATTTTGATGTATATATGTGAAGTGTGCCGGTCACAGCAGTCGCGCGGTCTAAGACACGAATTGGCTTCCCTCGCTCCGACGCTGGGATCGTGGGTTCGACTCCCACTCAAGAGCATGGATGTCTGTCTGCGTTTATTCTGTTTGTGTTGTCCTGTGTGCAGGTAGCTGCCTTGTGACGGGCTTATCCCTCGTCCGAGGAGTCCTACTGTGTGTGAAAAATTATTACGGGGCTGAATTAGAGGCCTGGGCCCTGAATGGGCTGGAAGAACCATTGAAGAAAAACATATGTGAGAATTGTAGTATACTAGATAAATGAGACGCCTTACGATTGGCTATATTTGTGTCTGTTCTAGTAGGACTGGAGAGGAATGAGAGAGAAAGCGGGAGAAATTAATAGCACGAGGGCTTTATGCGGGATGATGAGACATACAGCGGGTTTTACAGGTCCCATTCAAATCCCTCTCACACCTAGAACGAATGTAAAACACGCCCTCACAGAAAGCCTTGCGCGCGCTCTCCTGTCGCCTGAACACCTCTGTCAGGATTCTTATAACTTCCTCTCGGTTCAACATCCGGCAGAACACAGACGCGTCGCTTTGGGTCGTGATGTGGTTAACAGACGTTCGAAGATGAAGACGCCTACGTCATCGAGGTTAATATGGATTGTAAGGTTCGAGGCTCCCACAGCAGAGGTTATGAGGCATTCGTCTCCTGTAGTCAGTTCAGAACACGTCGCCTTCATCTTCAAGGGCCGAAGCATAACGGAAGCACAAACCCCACCATGATGCAGGCAGGAGCAATTAGTTACTGCTCTCAATCTGACTCGACGATACGCGCCATCCTATGAGCGTCGTTAAATAGCATATATGGGGCACGCGGTAGCGTAGTTGATTGAGGCACTTTGCTACAAGCCAGGAGGTCGCGGGTTCGATTCCAGATGAGGTCACTGGATTTTTCAATTGACCTAATCCTTCCAGCCGCACTATTGCCCTGGACTCGACTCAGCCTCTAACACAAATGAGTACCAGGAATGTTCCTGGGGGGATAAAGGGCGGCAGACGCGTAAGGCTGACAAACTCACCGCCATCTGTGAGCCGACTGTCTAAAGAAAATGTGGGAACCTCGACGTCTCACAATCCTATGGGCGCCGGCCGCCCTTTATACCCCAGAATATTCCAAGAATATTCCTGGTACTCATTTCTGTTACGTGTTGAGTCGACCCCAGGGTTACAGAGTGGCTGGAAGGATTAGGTCAATTGAAAAATACAATGAGCCTATCGGGAATCAAACCCGCGAACTTCCGTCTTGTAGCACAGTGTCCCTACTGTTCAGCTGGAGAGAGGGCTCAGTTTGCATGCACTTCACGCTCCGACGAGACGGGAGACGAATGTCACTGTCAGACCCGGATACGTTGCAGAGGGGAAAGGAATTGGAATTCTGAGCCATTCCCAGATATTCCCTGAGTCGTGGACAGTCTGAAGGGCTCAAGCAACTTACCCCAAACGCGGAGTACCTCTTGGTCCGCCTGTGCTGTTCCTTGTTGAGGAACACTTCGGACTTCGGCCGCGGAGGTTTCTTGGGCCTGAGGATGACCCGCGCCTCCTCCCGGATGTCTTCGTCCAGAAGTTTGGAGTCGCTGGACACCGACAGCTGGCGCTGAACCCGGTCGTGGTCCCCGAGACCGTCCCAACCTGGAACAATATGCGGCACGTAAGGCACTGTCAAGTGATCGAGTGATATAAACAGAGTTTTGGTTCGGTTTCCTCTTCACGCCTTGGCTCTGATACGGACGGGTCCCGCCACATGTAAATATTTCATATAAGTACCAGATGAGGGGCAATGATCTATAGTGAAATCTAATTTATGTAGGTAAACGAAAGGGGAACATGCGTGCAACACCTTTACGGGCCGAATGAGACCCGAGGGCCACTAGTTAGAAAATAATTATTTATAGGTTCGCTTCCTAACGCTAGGCTAATGGCATAGAGATGGGAAGACAAGTTCACTTTAATATTCGAGAGTGCACGGAACTTCACTGCAAAAGCGGCTTATATTACGTGCGTTATTGAAGCTTACATGAATTACTACTCTAATTGACTCTATACATGCTCGTGTTTAGCTTATAAAACAAATTCCTTCATTTGTTGATATGTTTCCATAGTAATCTAGACCATATATATATATATATATGTGTGTGTGTGTGTGTGTGATTGGAGATAACGCTGTAATCCAATTCACTCATATCCGTGCGGTATATGAGGGTATACATACACAGGAAGACGGAGGGACGAGCAGACAGACAGATGGACAAACAGTATATTGTGCTCCGAAGAAGAGAAGGCAACAAAGGTAACGCTTGTTAACGCTGACAGTATCCTTTTTCTTTTATTGCTAGTGGGGTGGGACTAAGTCCCTTGTACTGCGGCCAATTCTGGCCTATTGTACCAGCCCCAGATGATAGGTGAGTGTGATTGTGGAGCAATTCGTGGAATGAAGATTGGCAGGGGAAACCGAAGTACTCGGAGAAAACCTGCATCAGCGCCACTTTGTCCACCACAAATCCCACTTGACCAGACCCGGGATCTAACCCGGGCCTCCGCGGTGGGAAGCCAGCGACTAACCGCTTGAGCTATAGCGGCCTCCGTAGTCTAGAGGTAACGTTCCCACTTCATGACTCGTGGTACGCGGGTTCAAATACCCGGCGGAGGTCGTCGAATTTTTAAGGGCGGAAAAATTCAGGGAACAAGTCCTCCGGGAGGGACTTTAAGCCGTGTGTCCCGTGTCGTAACTTTACGGCACGTAAAAGAACCTCATATCCCCAAAGGGGATCACTGAGCCAAATTCCAGGACGTTTCCCGCCCAACAATAGTCTCTAAGGCCTCTGATAGATGGGGGAAGCATTATAGATACCGCCAAGCAAGTGGCCGAACTCGCTTGCTCGGCGGGACTGATGGTACGCACCATTATCGGTAGGGTATAGAGACTGGCAGAATATCATAAGAGGGAAGCACAGTGGACCAATACTGGTCTAAGTGCATGGGGAAACCCACCCTCTCCAATAACTAACTAACCGCTTGAGCTATGGCGCTGCCCTGACAGTCTCCTTACGGTCACAGTCTACTTCAGTGTGCAGACAATTGCATATACACGCTGATAGGACTTCGTTAGCTACCTCGCATTCTATTCGTTGGAGGACAATGGATGTATAAATTTATTTCACAAAAGGACAGGTATACATGAACACTGGCTAAGGGCTGAACGACCGAGAGGTTGGAGTTCGAGTCCCGGTAAGATCAAGAATTTTCACTTCTCCAAGTCATCCAGACCGGCTCTGGGGTCCACCCAGCCTCCTATCCAATGGGTAATTGCGGCTCTTTCCCCGGGAGTAAAGCGGCTGGGGCGTGAAGCTGACCACTGACCTATAGCTAGTGCCGAGATCAAGAAAATGTGGATCTATACATCAACTCCCCCATACGCCTTCATGGCGTAATGATTAATTAGTTAAGCACAAGGAAAACTTCATCTTTATCTTACAGGCATACATAAACATGCGTACCACCCCGTAGTTGAGGTTACATAGCTAATGACCTTCCTGACTTACAAGCTTCAGTGTTTCACATCTTACGTACACTCGATCTATTGTAGGAACGGTGACGCGTCATCAGCTACTAGTGACGTAGACCGTTACGTCATCATTAGAAAGTTACTAGAGTCTATTTGTAACATATTTCCAGCATTCACATGGCGGTGGGGAATTTTCTTCCGTAAGGTTGCCTACATATATGACGTATATTGGTTCGTTTTTAAGATTTCGTCACCTGGGTCAGTTCTTCATGGAGCCAAGTGACTTTTATGACGCCCCCACACATAAAGTCCTACATTCCATTCGAAGTGTAGGATTAATAAAGGGTTAATCCAAAGGGGAAGCACAATAGATCATTGTAGGCCGCGGTGGAAGGGTCGGATTTTATGGGCCACCCCTTACACACATACATACAAACATCCCTTGGTTCGTACAGCGGATGGACTCTAGACAGATATAAAAAGAGAGATGATCATTGTCCTCGTGTGGAGGCGGGTAGCTCCTCCGTAGCCCTGCCAGTCACAGAAGGCGATGAAAAGGGAACCCGGTGCCTGGGGGTATAACTGGGTCACCCTGTCACTGGGGCACATAAATACAGGGACCTCGTCCTCAAGGTTGGGGGTTGAATGCAAGGCTGACAGCCTTCTTCTGATGCGCAATCAAAAGAAGTGAAAATCGGGTGCAATCCAGCAGACTCTTCTTCTGTTTGGCCATGGAACTGTCAGGTCGCGGTACCCATCTGCGCGGGCGTGAGATGCGATCTCTCGTCATCTCCCTTTGGGAGTCTGCCTACAACATCTCGGGGAATATGTGGCCTCCCACAATTCTCAGTGGTTCTGGGGCAATATCCGGCATTCCAGCAGATCCCCTGGCTTCATGATAACTCGTTAGAGAACAAAATTCGATAAATTCCAACGCGTCCTTTCAACTTTAACCAACGAGTTCATTTTATCCTTGAGGCAACTACGTAACTTCACGTTGAGATTATTATTACTATCCACTGTAGACTATGAGGCATCACGACGTTTCGGGAGATTGCTCTGATTTAGTCTTCAGACGATTCGCTGTCATTACACTGCCATATTTGTTTAATAACATTTTGGAATTTGCGGCGACAGCTCGGGTCGAACCCTCTTCGACCTTCTTAATACTCAGTGTGTTAATCATCACACTTTCCTAATATTCGAAAAATACCAGGTTTGATCTATGTGCTACTACGAAAATTTTCTGATTTCATTATGCTTTTCTTTCGTCACGTTTGTTTTTCACAAAAACAAAATGCAACAGGAATCAACAAACTACAAGAAGAAAACAAACAAAAACAAGCAAACATAAACACATAAAAAATGTTTTAAAATTTTTCTAGTCTGTTAACGTGGTACTCTATTTACTTCTGTTAAGTTTATTTTCGTGTATAAAGTTAACCATGCATTGTTGGAATAAAAAGCTCAGCTTCACGTTGACTTCTTGCTCGTTGCTTGCATAGTACAGGTTTGACCCTGAAGATGGAAGCAGTACACTTCTCCGAAATGTCGGTAAACTACTGCTAGACTACACAGCCTCACTTCTGAGATAGTAATCTTCCACTGCCAGGTAGCAAAAGGCAAGAACAAAGCTTCAGTGCACTCACGTACACATTCATGCATATAAAAACGAAAAACACCTTAATAAAAATCCCATACCACCAATAACGTTTCAGGTCACATGTACACCTACAGTCTTACGATAAACAAGTGTTTCTACAACTGTTTCAACGACCCAAGTGAAATTATGAGGTCGAAGGTAACGCTGTTTATTACTTCATTCGGGTATAACTTCCCTTGTCTGCCCTTATGCATCTTAGCAGTCAGAGTTCGTAGTAGTTAAGAGTACGAGCAACAGATGGCAGTAGTTTGTATTTACAATTATTTTCACAATGAAGAAAGAACGTATGCTGGAGTCTGTTCTGTAGTTCCCATCTTTGCCGCAGACCTTCTTAACGTACCTCCACATTTCGTTATTCTATCAAGTTGTCATTTTAGCAACAAAAATGGTTTAGATCTTGTCAAGGTCACAGCGTCCAGTCATCATGACGTCAGTATACTTTTTTCCTGATGGGGTGAGATTGAGTCCACTTGCGTCCATTGTTTGGGCCTACTGTACCAGCCCCAGATGATGATGACTGTGGAGAAATGGGTGGAATACGAATTGGCAGGGGAAACCGGAGTACGGGGCCACCGCGGTTTGAAGCCGGCGACTGACCGCCTGAGCTATGGCACGGCTTTTCGTCAATATATTACAATATTCTAACAAGATGGGATCACAGTTAAATACGTACAGCACGATAATGGGGCAAAACATATGCATATCTCGTTGATATTCACGGGGGGTTACGTTGGTACGATTAGAAAGTAACAAATACCTTTGTCCAGATCCGACGCAAGGGCGACGCTTGAATTCTGTTTGACGACGCTCATTAGTACGACACTGGGGCGAGACGATGAGCAGAAATAGGCGTCGTAGTCTTCACCGCCGTCGATGGTGGTACGGCGACGCTGCAGACGCCTCAAGTGGAACTGCATTGTCAGAGGATTACGCAGTCACTGAACAGATCACCCGTCTCTTCACGTCACGTGTCCACATGGATAATCAGTTCCCACAGAGGTTCTAATTTGAAAATATGTTACTCAGTTAGGAGGCTCTCGAGAATGGGTATCAACTCTCCTATCAACTGCCAGCTGTGCAGCTACACAAGAACCCTCCACTGGTCCCTATCCTGAGCCAGATCAATCCAGTCCATAAAACCCCATCCCATACATTTTAATATTGTTCACGCACCTACGTCTTGGTCTTCCTATTGATCTCTTCTGGTTTTCCCATCAGTAACCTATATGTATTACTCTTCGCTCCCATTCGTACTACATTCCCCGCCCATCTTATCCTCCTTGACTTCATCATTCTAATTATATTTGGCGAAGAGTGCAAGTTATGGTCCAGTCTAGAAAACCGAGATTAACGGCCGTGGGGATCCGAGGATCAAGCGGCAACGGGTTCAAAGCTATACTCAAGTCGCTCTAAAAACTCGGAATATATCAAGATATTATTGTCTGTCTAAACCATCTCTGTGGC